TCCTCTTTTTTATTTTACTTGAAAATTTTAGGGTTAAAGTAATCACGTGGTTTCTGGGAAAAAAATGGTGGTTTGGACATCGAAAAAGACTTTATTACATGATTTTTTTGCATTCATGCTATCTAAGTTTTGCTTGATCATTGCAATAAATTTTTAGTTCAACAGGTTAAAAAATTGTCAGTTGAAATTAAAAACAAGTATCCAACAACTTTGAAAATTGGGCTGCAATCTTCAAAATATTTACGGACTTTAATCCGACGAAATTTTTTGTACCTTTCGAAAGCTATCGGTACCTCGAGCTCAAGTGTAAAAAGATAAAAAGTTATTTCATTTGTGATTGTTTGTTCAGCTGCTATGCGGGTTTGAAAATTGCGAAGTTTGCCCAGTTTGCACATGTAATGCGCTTGAATTATCAACCTGGTACGAAAAAATACAAAAAGGTTGGTACAAAATGCGTTTATTTTTTTATGCTATCTCAAAATAAGAGAACCATCAAACTTATCATCTATATGCCGCCCTACAGTTAATTGAGCGGTACGCGGGGCCAAACTTGCACTTTCGAACTAAATTAAAGCTGTCAGTTTTAAATGCATACGAAAATATGACACTTGTTTCTTTGACAGACGTTTACTATTCACCCTACATTTTAGGAAAGTGTCCTCACTTAATCTCAAAAGACTCACAAGCTCTTTTAAAGGTTTTCAATTAATCCTTTCTCTGTTCTTGTCTTTCTACTTTCTCCGCCTCTGAATGAGAAAAAAGAAAACAATTATTGTATATATCCACTTTATAGGTTGATGTTTGGTGGATAAGCAGTTTGTTTGGGAGGGGGGGGGGGGGTTGAGGGCGATAATGGAATAATAAAAAAATGTTGTACATGCCCGGTCGATGTCAAGATTGGGGTAGGGAGTGGGGAGTGGGGAGTGGGGGAGTGGGGAGGGGAGGGGGGTTTGTAAATGGGTTGAAAATTAAGTCGAGACCGAAAACAAACAAGGGCAAACAATGAAAACAAATAGCTTTTCAGCTTGTGGTCCACTTTTGTTCTGGGTCCTAATCAATAGAAGCCGCCCCTAGCTCCCCGCCCCCTCACTTTTGCACGGCGGACTCTTTTGACTAAATGAGAGTGAAACACCAAGTTGTTCATTTAACCTGTTTGTGTTTTTTGTTTTCTGTTTGTATTTTTTCGCTCCTCCGTCCCTCTCTCAATTGCTTTTATCCTAATTGAATACTTCCCTCTTGTGTTTTCGTGTCTTCTTGTGTTTCCCTATTATTTGTTCCCATTTTCAATTCACGAGTCTCTCTTTTTAGTCTAAGTGTGTGATTGGCTAATTATTAATTATATCGATTGACAAACCAGTCGGCCGAATCGAAAATTAATCCGGCTGATTATACCTGTCGCCAGCGCAAGTCTGTCTCATCCACCTTTACACGCCTCACTTATGATAATTTCTTAAAAGAAAAAACTCATTTACTTCAAAAATAAACAAAAAAGATTGAAATCAGTTTAAGCTTAAATGTCATTGCAGTTAGTGGTCTAGTGAAACTAACTACCGATTTTTGCCAGTTTTTTTTGCATCCTTGATTTCAATCGCACGTCTGTTTTTCCAAATTGGTGAGTAAAAATATCAAACTTTTCATTTAAAAACTGCTTTTTTCATAATTAATGTGAAAACTGTTCATTGAAACTTTGTAATCATTGTTCAGGCACAGTTATATAAATTATCAGAAAGTTTTGTGTAAAGTACGGAATATTAATTTAATAAGACGTGCCCTTTTTGGCATAGCCCAGAGTTTACCGATCGAGCTATTAAATTTCGGCAAATCTTGCCTTAGTTGCTTTGCTCTTCCGACATTCGAAGAAAGTGGGAAATATGCATGCCAGAGGTGTTTCTTTTTTTGTTCAGGCATTTTCGGGTATCGGTATAATTGTTATTCTAGGATGTTTTTTTTTATAATTATATCAAGGCTCTCTTTGCCCTGAATTAAAATCAAATAGAGTTTTTACCCACGGACATTTGGTCTTGAAGTAAGCGGGCTTTAAAACTATCAGGTTGAACTAATTAGTCCCGCGCTCACAACTATTCTATATTGAGGCAAGCTAATTAACCGAGCTAACTTCTAGCTTAAGCAAATTTCCTAAAGTTTTGATTTTACTGAGTTTTTTTATCGAAATATTTTGTAAATCAAATATATTTTTTGAGCATTCACTGCTGTATTTTTGCAGTTCCATTTCATTTCATATTTCAGGGTCTAAAAATTTCATCATAACTTTCCAGTTCGAATTTTTTTTTGAAAATCAGCCCCCTTCGAGAAATTCCTAGATTCGCTCTCGGTTCAGACATGGTTAAGATTTTTGTGGCATATTCAGACTACTATCTTTTTATTGTTCAAACCAAAGCTCAGACAAGAAACAACAAATTGTTTTAACCTAGAATTTGTAGGGTAACTCATAATTTTATTTGAAACGTTTAAATTGAATTTTTGAGAAAAAACCCAAATCATCGAAATAATATGATTAAAACTAAATCATTTTGATCATTTTAATTTGATGTTTTGATGAAATTAACTAGCCGAGCACAAACGTTAATGGTTCCGACTTATGGTTAATGGTTAAGGAATATTTTTTTGTCAGGTAGTAATGAAAAATGATTTTTCTCGATGTAGAATTTTTTGCTTAAAACGTTCTGGTCTGAATATAAAACGGTTTCAAAAGCAGTGCTCTTAAATTGCTTGCAAGCTTAATTTTAAAATATATCTTGAGCTTGAGTTTTTTATACAAATTCACGCAAATTTTTTCCAAGAAAAGGCAGAAAAATAGAAATTAGGATTATTTTTTTTGTTAGTATTTGTTTTGAATATCAGCAGAGAAAAATTAGTTTAAAAAAATAATGTTCAAACAAAAGGCGTCCAATTTCTCAAGACCTCGAGTAAAAGTTATATTTGTAGGAAATTATAAAAATTGGTTGAAAAACATTTGGGTTCTGTGATACTTGCGCACAGCTACAAGGTTAACTATCTTTTAGAAAAAATAGTATACAATAATCATTTTACAGAATCATTTCTATTACTTTTTTTGTTTTGAGTACGACTTTATGAGCTGTGCTTTCTAGTCTTGCTTGCTGATTTTTTTTGCTTTGATTGCCTTAATAATTTTGGAATATTTGCTTCATAGTTTTCTATTATTTGGTTGCTCGAAAACTTTTTGATTGTTCTTAGATATTTTGCAAAAAACTCTCTCACAAGTTTTAAAATTATTCCAATTTTGATCCATTTTTAGAGTATCTATGAGAAAATTTTACTATAAGATAGCCCGCATCCAGTTTCAAGCGTTAAAAACCAATTATAATTTGATTTTAGTGTCAGTCTTACAAAAATTGAGAAAAAAATGATTTTAATTAATTAAAAATCGATTATAATCTTTTTTTTTGAAATCAATTATAATCAATTACAATCATTATTTTTATTTAATTTTCTAATTTATTTGTTTTGCAGAAAAAATCCTTTCTAATTGATTATAATTGTTTATAATATCTTTGTTTTGCCCATTTTGTCTTCGAAATTGTTTTAAAAGTTTTTAAATCAATTCTTACTTATAGCGTTTTTTTTCTTTTTGATTATAACTGTTTTATGATGCACATTTTAAGTTTTTTTTACCACCAAATCATCAGCACTTTGCTTCAGTTTCTTGATTTGTATAGAATAGTTATATTCCACCTACCGCGGGATTTTTCCATCTAACATGAAGGGATCTCTATGAAACTGTTGTTTCGTGGTAAAACTTTGTGTTCAGATAAACCAAAGAGTTACAAGACATCTCATTCTTACATATTTTGACAGAAAAAAGGAAAAGGATTATAATCTATTAAAATAGGTTATAATTGATTATAAGAGATTATAAAAGTATAAAAGATTATAAGAGATTTTCGGAAAAATTATAATCAATTATAATTGTTTATAATTTATTATAATGTCACGAAAAATATTATCTTTATAATGGATTATAAATCCTTTAAACATCTAAATATGGCGCTTATGTTTAATTCTAATTTTGATTAAAGTACAATTATAATTGTAATATAATCGATTATTTTCTCTTTTTACTGAGTGTGGGGTAGTACATAACAAACAATCCTTTCCATTAGGACAAATCTAATGATATATCCAATGCCCTAGTGATCAGTGATTTCCATTTAAATAAATAAACCGTTTAAATTAATTGTTTTGCGTTCTGAAAGTTGGGAGGCACTTACTATGTCTTAAAGTGTTTTAGTTTTATTAAATTTTTTTAACGCAAAATCAAGTACTGCAAATAATCAACTTGCTCTATTTTCGACCGAATACAAAGGGCGAGTTGGTATTTTAACATTACAAAATTTTTTGCTTAACTCGCAAACGACATAAGTTGATAATAAAAAGTTTTCTAAAAGTTCAAAAAAGCTATTTGTAAAATGAGTGAAAAAATTTAGACATTTTTGAATTTTTCAATTTTTTTTTCGTACGCAATTGTAGTAGAATATTTTTAATCAGGTTTTTTTTTAGTTGCGATAAAATGGATTCATTTCGATTAGTTCAAATTAGATAAAGCCAAAGAAAAGTTATTTTTACCGTAACGGTCGGAGGACCCTTGAAGGAATTTCGTCTTCGTTCTTGTTTCAGTTATTTTTCGTTTTTAGTTTTCCTTGTTCAAGATCAGGTATCACAAAACATCATGCGAGTATTTTGAGTAATATACCATGTTACAACCTTTTAGTAGTCTTCAGTCGAACGATATCGAAAATTTTTACTGCAAATTTTCTCGGTGTGAAGAAAAAAAATTGGTTTCAATTTCTGCATTTTTGGCTAATTTGGGGCCAGCAGGTGAGCAAGTAAGCTAGCTTTTTTAGTTTTACTTCAAGAATGTTCTGAAGCTTCGTTTAGCGCTTCTTTGGCAATGAAATTTTTTGTGAAACTTCAAAAACTTTTTTTTTTTCGATTTTGTTTCCGTTTTCCTTTTTATGAGTCGAAGGCATCATCTGATGTCGATTATGGCTAATATACAAGTATTCTACGTTTTTTGTGTAGTTCCTTTCATTACCCCGCGCACCAAAAAACGACACAATTATGAAAGAAACGTTTTTTGTTTCCGGAACTTTCTGTGCTGCTTGCACTGCAACCCGCTATCCTTTTTCAAATTAAATTTAAGTAATATAGAAAGAAATAAAGAAAAATTAAAACACAAAATTTCATTCGAATACCACAATGTAATTGAAATTTTTTTTTAAATAGCGAATATTTGACTTAAATTCTTGTCTGAATAGGCCAAAATCATAATTGAATTTTTTGGTTTGGCCCGTTTTTTATAGCAGACAGCTGAAAATGCGATCGAGGAAATGTTTTGAAAAATAGCTGAAATTTTTCCAGGATTGCATGATTTTGCTTGTATGTGGAAACATTAAACTTCGGTCGAAATATTTCACTTGAAGGGAAGGGGAATTTTTTATGCCTCCGTTCCCTCCCTGTCCGTCGGCCGAACTTTTAGGGTCAGTCGGCGTCTTTTTTTTTACTAAAGAGTGGGGACCCTTTGGGTGATGAAAGGTTCGAATACATGAGGAAAGGGGGTGATTTAGGGGGGCTTAAGTGGGAGAAGTCTTTGGCGTCAGTTTTTCCAAGTTTTGAGAGGTGGGGAGCGCAAAAACTATTTTTTTTGGTCAAAATTTTCCAATTAGTGCCTAGAAACATACTTTTGTGCACTGTTTTTTTTTCTTCAAAAATTTGCTTGCGATGCAACAAATTTTTTCAAAATAAGGTCTTCATAGTGATTTGGGAGAGCTATGAAAATCAGTTTGATCGACCCAATTTGATTTTGAAAATTCGACTCCCCCTTCCTCGAGAAAATCCTAGATCCGCCTCTGCCTCCATCAATTTTTGCCCCTGAAATGTAGCGAAATAGATTGTTTATATCAGTGTCAATTTTAATTTAAATGTAGTTTTTATTGTTCCGACCTATGAAGAAAGTGAGAAAAAATATGCTCGGGTAGGTTTTTTAATCAGACTACTTTTACAAAACTTTGGTCCCTCGGGGGATCGATCTCTTGTACTGCATGGGGCCAGCCGATTGTGCTCACTACTATTGTAACCTGCCATCGTTAAGCCTAAAACTGCTTGTTTTCTTATCCCGCAATGCAAAATTGTTCCAAAGTGAATTGAGGCAGCCAGTTGGTTTTATTAACTCCATACACGACTCAAATTGCAACACTTAATTTTTTATGAATATCATCAGCCTAAATTTCATTACTTTGCAAAAGCTCAACTTATCAAAAATTATCAGAGACCAAATAAAGGGCAGTCGGATACCAGCAGGATACTTGCCCTGATACCAGCAGTCTTGTTTGTTTAAATGGTGGTTTTTGACGCTAGTGTGTGTTGTGTGGCTTCATGGTTTATAATTTCACTCAAGTCCCAATTCTTAAGTTGATTTTTTTTGTGTTGAATATTGACCTGAATTTATTCAGTTAGGCGGCGTTACTAAAAACCGTTTAGAGAGCATTTCGCGTTATTTTTATCAGTGAATCAGTCATATTTCTTTCATTTTTTGTAACCTGGATCAGAGCTCTGAAGTGTTTTCTGATGAGTGTCAGTCTATCTTTTATTAAAAAAATGCGACATGAAAATTAAGGTGCACGAAGAAGGAACTTGAATTAGAACATTATAGCCTTGCCGGGACTTTCCACGTGGTGAAATGAAGGAGTGAGACAAATAAAAATAAACAAAGTAAACAAATGCAA